TCAAGTATCTTATATTTTATTCTGATAAGGAAGGTTTCTCAAATTAAAAAGAGAACATATTTGACTAGTACATTTTTCTATTAGAAATTGTTCATATTTAGAAGATAAAACTAACCGAATAAATAAGTAATACTTTTAATTTTTATTAATTTTTAATACGTATTTTTTAAACACTTGGGTAATTAAATTTGTCACGAAAGAAATATATACTTTTTGTATAAATTTACCTGTTTTGAGGAAAATGTATTTTTAAACCCCAACTTAGACGATTAAATTCATCCCTGAGGTATGGCCGACTGTGAATAAAAAAGTATAAGCCAATATTTTTGTTTAAAAGTATATTCTTCCAAAAGTTCATCAAAATCAGTTATTAATGCTTAAAAAAGTTTTTGTGTTCTGACTTTCTTTTATAAAGTTATTAGCCTTAATTTTCTCGTGGCACGATATGTGTTAAATTCAGTCTACACCCATGAAGGCCTCTTGGACTGCGTGCCTGGTTCAAATAAGAATTTTAACTCACGGATTTATAAATTGAGCTATATACCTCATGATACCCACGGAAAAGTATGATGATGTGATAAATTGGAGCAAAAATTTGCAAGGAATTTTGCAACTCGATGAACTTAGTTTTATGAGAATTGACTAAGAGGTATGATCAATATTGAGGACGGTGATGGCGTTTTATGAATGGTCAGTACGATACCTTTGAGTCAAGAAGGTATTGTATCGGGTCAGAAATAGCTTTTGGGTCAAAAGCAGAGGGCAATATAAATCAGCCCAGTCCACTGTGGGTTTTTTTACGTGGTTTTGTGTTTCACGTGTCACTGGTATAAGGGGCAAAGAAAGTTCAGAGGATCAATACGCCTAATATCAATTCCCTTTCTTCTCAACGTACTTTTAACCTTTCAGACAAAATATTTTGCGAGCCAAATTGTTTGTATCATAGATTGTTAAAGAGATTCAGAATTGGAATAAGTTATCCATATTTTTATGAAGTATTATTGCTTTATTTCATTTTCTTATTCTTCTCGTATAGGTTGGTCTAGATTGGTCTAGTGGTCTAGGTTGGTCTAGTCTAGGCTCTTCTGATCGAGCAGAAAATAATTAATAATGAATCCTTGGTTAGTATCGTTGAGTCACAATTTATTAACCTAGGATTTAAATCACATTTAATATCAGACCAATATTATTATTGCTTTCTATGGTAGAAAATGAAATTAACTCTTTCACTCTTGTTGGCAAAATGTACGCCAAAGACATTATGCAAACAATATGACACCCGTAGCAAACAGAAAATTCCAAGATTAAGAAATTCGAAAATAATTCAACGACATACGTTATTTACATTTACTGTAGATACGCGCTGTGGTGGCGCTAGTGAGTTAAATGGAAAATCGTTTTAAAACTGCCGAAATCCTTACTCGTGAAGTGACTTTCTAAAACATATATAAAATTTTTAGGTCAGCAGAAGCATAAAGATTTCAACGACACTCCTATCCTTTAAATAGGAGTATGCCAGCTGAACAAAATGTCCTCTCCAACACGCACAGACCAACCTGTAATTACCCTTTATCCAGAAGAAGCAGTATCGATACACCCCCCCCCTCTCTCTCCCTTTTTCTCTCCTTCCTAGTAATTTATCTTACGAACGACAAATCCAGGTTCGTCGAAACGTATATACTCTAGTTACAGCCCGGAATAAAGAATGCACGAGATCGTTATCCCACGGATTAACGGTTTACCTATCTTATAGATAATGCACGATCGTATACCCCTGCTGAAACACACTCGTGACGTAAACACGCGAATCACACAGGAACTGCCGGCTAACAGTTCGCAACAAATTTATCGGGGCTGAAACGCTGACGTCGAAACGGCCTGTGTTTATCGAGTGGAATCCGAAAATTAGATCCTGTGATTCCGTTAAAATCCGACGCAATTTCCTCGATTACACCTCCAATTGGAATGTAGGAACAGCGAACTACAGGTTCTAATTCACCGAAATCCTGAAATCGATTCGCAAGAGGGCCAGAAGCAATGTCAATGCCAATTAATCGAAGGAAGATGAACAATAATCCCTAGGACGAGTCGAATGGTATCGGGCTGAGGCATCGAGCTGGAATTCGTAAATAACGAGTTCCCTTCAATTTTCGTGGAACGGCCGTGCACTTGTCCCGATACGGTGACATCGACGTCGCCAGTTGGAAAACGGATTTCCTATATTTTCAGTTCGCTCCATGGCCCACCCTTTTCGACCGGGCCTTTCAATCTCGCCCCAGCAACGTCAGTAATTTTCTCCCCTAACTGACGTTTCCTGACAACAAGTTACAAATTTGAAGAGTTCGAACTGAGAGGGAAGATACTGCTGGGGTGACTCGTGGGATCTGCTTTCCTGGCTTCCAGGTCTGATAACAGCCGAGTTTGAAATGGCAGTGTTAAATCGATTTGAGATAAACAGACGACAGGTTTTTTAATTCTTTTATTTGTTAGCTTTTGTATGTATTTTCGTTTTTATTTAATTTCCAATGGATGAATTTAAGGGTGCTGTTTGTCAGTGTTTATTTTTGAACTAATAATAGGTGTTACATTGGTTTGAGATAAATGAATGATATTGCATTTTTTCATTGACGGATTTTGTATGAATTTTGGTTTTCATTTGGTTTTTGAAGAACAAGTTAATGAATATTATTGATTAATATTTATGTGCCTATATATCCTTGAAGCTTTCGAAAGTGTGAAAATTATTTTACATATAAAATTATTCTAACGTTTACTGTGAAGATAAATAAGCTTTTTAGAACGGAGATCGTTTGACCGTTTAGAAATGTTATCACGCGTGGAAGATTAATTTGAATCGATAAGATGTGAAAAATTGGAGATGAAACATGGGAGATATGGTTGAATGGATAAGATAAGCGAAGGTTTATGATATCCGATACGCAGGAACCGATAAAACTTTATCACTTTTGAATTTACATAAAAATATATAAAATCAATCATACTCTATATTTAATAATATACGATATAGAGTTACAACAAAATTATTCCTACTATTATACAAGTATGATAGAATTTACATCGGCTCTTTAAAAATTCAAGGAAAAATTATTAAATGTTTGGAAATGAAGTTATTGCATTATACTTCTTTAAAAATAAGTCATTGATCTGAATTTATTTCTCCCTTCTCGTAAACCTACAATTTTTCAAACAACTTTCACATGAGAAATTAAAGTTTCTCTCATATTAGTTGCAAACTGTGTGTGACAGAAAACGATCCGTTTTCCTTTAATCACTTTCATTCCACTTCTTCCACTTCAATTTTCCTATTCAATATATGTTGAAATTTTTCTGAACGTGTTTCATATATTCGTTATTTTAAATGTAAAATATTTCGTTATTTATTATATTTTAATATTCTATTTCATTCCACTTCAAATTTTGAAATTAATAAAAAGGCGGTAATAGAGATAATCTAATTTCTCAATGAAATTGAAGAAATTTTCTATAATTCGATTTAATCCACACACTTTAAAGGAGCTCTAATAGGAGACCAATCGAACAGCTTATCGCTAATGAGACTTGTAATGAAGTAAAAACCAATAATTTTTACTTCTTGTTATCTCGTACTCGTACCGTGTTACGAGTGCGTTGATTATACGATACTTGTGGATTATGCAATTTATTACAGCGAAAGCATAAATCAACAAGGCAGATAATTATATAAGAATTCAACGTGTCTATTTAATATTTCATTTAATATTCCACACACGATGTAGGATTCTTGCGAATGATCACGTTTTACGATGAAAAAGTTAATTAAATTTCAAGATTAAATAAGAATTTCAATCAATTCACACGTTGGCATGGCGCCTTTCAATTTTATGAAATACCTGAAAGGCTTTATTTCGCTGTATGTTGAGTAAGAGAAGCGAATTTTTGAGTTCGTTAAAATAAATTAATCAAATTTTTACGTAGTAAATATTACCATATTTATGCTGCATATATAAATTATTCGTAAACGCGTATATATTAATATTTAATAAGGTAATATATGGAGACGTGTGTGAAATGAATAGCTCTAATTTAATTTAATGGAATATGTAGTTTCAGCACAAAACTTGCTTGCTGGACAGTAGAAATTAAATTATCATTATGAAATAATGATGTTGAAATATTTTAGTACAAACAATATAATAGCTTCAGAACGCATTCCACAATGTTAATTGATATTCCACAAAATAGTTAAATTTGGTATTTTCCCAAGGTAATTTTTAACTTTACTATAATAAAGTACAATATATGGAAGAATTGATGTATTTTCTGATAATGTTACCATTACTGCCAGTGTCACTAAATATTCAAGAAATGAGTATTATTAGTGGTTACTATTTCATAGGAAATTTAAAATTCCTATGGGATGAAATTTCACCTATAATAGTTAAGTATTAAACACGACATAGTCCACACACATTTCAGCCTGCAGTATATACTAAATTAAAATGACAAAAAGAAAAGAATAATCATTTTAAATCTTTTCAGGAACAATATTATGCTAGACTAAAAAATTTTGATCATATACTTCTTGAGTACATGATTAATCTAACCTGTCCAATAACACAAAGACAACATAAAAATAATACAAAAATATGATAATGAAATGTAATAAAGATAAGAAGATCTAAATAAGATCCAAGTTTATACAATTAATCTACAATCCTTTCAACCAACATCTATTATGCTTCAAAAACGTATCTCGAGAAAAAAGAAAGGGAAGCAAAGATAGAGAAAAGTGAAATACAGAATAATCGCATAAACGCAGTCCTTACTACTTCATCATTCAGTATTTTCCAGACATATCAGTTCCCCGCGTACCCATAGCTTCTCGTATCAGTGTACGATACACACCCCGATGTGAGCACTGTCACGCCAACAGTCATAACTCCTTCACGCAATGGTGTCACTCCCTGTGAGACTCTAATCTGTGTGTCGTAATGTTATAGTTTCGAAAGGTTGCAGGGGAACGCCGGGAAGAGCTCAGATGGGAAAGGGACCTGGATCGCAACATCAGGTCTAGGGCGACCTCCCCGGATCGTCACCAGGTCGATAGGGGAAGGGCCACCAGTCCCCAGAGGATCGGGCCATCCTCCGTTTCTGGTAAGGATCTTTGCTCACGATTTAGATTCCTCTTTTGTCTTTGTACTAGTGTCCGAGATCGCTCTCTGCTTTTCGAAATAAACGCGTCATGGCTGTCTTTTGTCTTGGCTGATGAAATCTTAGAAACGTTACGCTATGAAGCCTCCCTTTATGGAGAACCTGAGGAATCCTTGTACCTTCGTATTAATGGCGGAATAGTGGAGACGATGGAAATAAATTTAATTTATTTTGAAATTTCGAAGAATCCAAAGGGACATTCGAACCTTTTATAGATGAAATTAAATTAGCTTTTGATTCTATTATGCTGGTGGATTTTATGCAGAATATTGTATTGGTGTATAATTCTATAGGTTCGTTGGGATCTTTATAGTTTTTATTTAATCCTTAGGTTATCGAAGTGTGATTAAATATAGAAGTTATTATAATTTGTGCAACCCATTTTATATCGCTAAATAATAAATTTTATCATATGCTATAGCAAAGGAATTTTTGATTAATATCTATTGAAGAAAAATTTTATCACATTAAATAAGAATTAATACTGGATATATATTCTAATAAGGTGTATAATTTTTATGATTAATATTCTCTGAATTAGTGGATTATTTTTCACGCTACTATCTAATGCTTTTAAAATTCATAAATAATTTTGCTTAATTAATTAAAAATTTTATTATTTCGTATTTTAAAATTGCTTTGTTAAAGTATCGATAATCTCAGGATCACAATTGAAAATGTGTCCATATTCCTACTTATAATGTGATTTAAAGATTATCGAATAATAGTCGAATAATATTTACTTACGAAGTTTGCTGTCATTTAATTCTATTCTGTTTCCTAATATCAAAATATTTGCCTGATTGTTTCTATTTCGAAATCTAAAAGGGGTAATTATCTGGAACACAGTGGTACGTAGGTGTCCTTTTTCAGATATTCCACGTTTTATAATAGGAATGGATTAATCGCGATACCACAATTGAGCTTTCGCTCTATTCTCGCTTTTCATCTTTTACTTTGTGCCTTTTGTTCACCATTTTTCGTGCTTCGTTGAGACTGACATATTTCGAGTAGCATCGTTTGCATTTTGCGTTAATAGATATCTTTTCTCTCACTTATACTCGAAATACAGGTGATCGATAATAAAATTGCATTCCAATGTTACCCATACGGTTAATCAGAGTATTAATAGATTCAGAGAATTAGTATGATTGGAGTAAAGAAAATTATTTAGTGCACGAATATTTTATTTCCTATTCTTAATATATTCTCCTATTTGTCCAATAAATTACGGGAGTCTCAATACTATATCTGTGAAATTGAAAAATAAAGGGTGGACCACCTAACATGACCTTTTAAATTATTTTCCTCAATTTGAAATTTTTACCTTCAGTAATACTCAATTTAAGAATGATCAAGAGTTATTATTTTATAAGCTCTTTAATATTAGACTATGTACTATAAAATAATTTTTTATTTTCTAATAATCAAATAATTGGTAATAACTTTCACTTTAAATAGCCCAAATTGAATTTTGGGCATTTTAAATATAAAATTCGATTTTCATAAATTGCCGTTTTGATGTATAACATTGTATTATCTCGCAGACTCTTGCACAATTCCAAATAATATATGATTATATTTGACAAGTAAGATACTATTGCCTATTGATAAATAAAAAATCCAGCATTGGTTAATAATCAACCCAATCCAATATCTATAGTATAGACCTATTTATTACAAATACGAGCCATGGTGGCGTTAGTGTTCTCAATGGAAAATCTCTTACAGTTACCATAGTAACAAAGAGTGAACCAGTATCACAACACTTCCTATTTTAACTATTTCTCAATTATTACTAAATATTTTACGCGACATCGAATTATTTTCCAATTCTACTAATAAACTCTCGGTACTTCCCTCCTATAACATACTATACTAAATACATAGTCATTCCAAACACTCCGTTCATCCTAACATCCCATACCGCAGATCAAAAGCTCTGCATTCGCGTGTCAATAAAATCTGAACGTCACGCGCAACTTCCACGGTTGCTTGCACGAAGCCAAAGTCATCTTTCGTGCTATTAGGAGAGCCACCGGAAGTGCTGGACCCGGAGGAGGAGGAGGAACGCCGAAGGCATGTACGGCGTGCTAGTGGCGCAGTACGTAAGTCCCGGATGACCAGGCAAAGGTCGTATGACGATGAAATGAAGAACGTGGCGGCGATGTCCGGAGGCGGAGGGCAGCACGCGCATCCGGAACCTGGTCTCGGGCTTCCGGTGCAGCTACCGCGTCGGGCATCAGCCTACGACGTGTATGCTGGCCAAGGTGCCGGTGGGCTCAACGCTATGGCCATCGCGGCTGCTCAGCAAAGAGCATCGATCTCCGCTCAAGGTAGGACACCTTATTCGTGTTGTATTTATACCTTCGTATAGAGTGCCTGCTGGCCTGCAAAGCAAGTCTATCGACCTTGTCGGTTTTTGTACGTGTCGGGCGATGTAAACGGATCATTCGATGTCGGATATCGCGGAAGCTTTCCGTAGAATCGTGTAGAAAGGATTGTGTACACAATATTATCGTATATTGGGTACATATTGAAGTATAGATTTTTTTTGCAACCTCCTTTGATATTGGATATTTTTATTTGCTACCTTTGGGCTCTTTATTTGATATTTCTGGACACGTAGAATTATTATTGGCTATTGTTTCGAGGATCCGTGGACTTGAATTATATTTATTTGGTATCCTTTGATGTTTTATACCTTTGGCATGCTTATTTGATATTCTTCGTATTTCTTTGAGAATTTGGTATTCTTATTGTTTATAGGAAGATAGGAATTATTTTTATTCCGATGTTAGGAAGAGTGCTGACTCATCTGGTGTCACGTATTTTGTGTGGTTACTTAAAATGTGAAATCAAAGAGACTAGTTACTTCAATAAGGTATATATAATACGATGATGAGGAAGACACTATCTTTTAGTGAAACAATGAGTCTGAACACAAGTTTATTTCAATTACTTATAGCTCTATATAAAATTTAATAATTTCCAAATTTTCAGAGAAATCTTTCTATTTGTTTTAATAATCAGTATTTAAAATTTATGACCGTCAATAAACTAAGTTAGTTTTCTAATGTGTCTAATTAATAATAGTCTAAATTTCTTGTTGATTATTGAAGTTTATTTCAATTACTCATAGTTCTGTATAAAATTTTATAATTTACAAATTTTCTATTTATTTGAATAGTCAGTCTTTTAAAATTTGTAATCGTCAATAAACTAAGTTAGTTTTCTAATGTGCCTAATTAAGCATAAATAGCGTTGAGCTTAGTGTCGAGTCTGATCAGTTTTACAAACAATTTAAACAGAGGATTCTTATACCCATCTTTTTGCAACTTTTTAATCCTAACTTATCCACTATAATTGTAACGAGAAATGTCCAAAGTTATTAATTAAAATTATTATCAAGCCCATAAAATCAAATAACCGAATTGTGATTTCGTCGACTGTGAAATGTTTGGGAACAGGAAGGGATCGTATGTCGGTTTCGTATTTAAGTATATTAACGTAATTTTTCACCGTATATTTGATATTATCAAGCTGGAAATCGTGCAAAATTTACGATACCCCGACTACATTAATTAATTTCGTTTTAATTAAAGGTTGTCCTATGTAAATAGTTGATAAATTGCAGTTTTCCATTACGATATAACACACTCGGGGAATTGCGATTATTAACCGCGTTACGTGCGGCATATCTTTGTCATTTTCACGGGTCAGCGAAACTGATGAAATTAAATTTAGCGAAACGAAGTATGAAAATTCAATAATTGTTTCATTGATATCCGTGTTTGATGTATTTAAATACTAACATTGTTTGATGTTAACATATCGAAAAGATACGTCGGGAAATATGCTGGGTCGAGAATAGTGTAATCATAAATCAATATTGGGTTTTCATTTACTATGACAAAGTACTTATTTTCCTAAAATTAATTTCGACGTGTTTCAGAAAGGTCAACAAGTTTTCGCGATAGAAGTAGGAAGGCTGCAAAAAAAGTTGTCTTTTAACTTCGTTAAATTATATTTATATTTAGCCATTTTCATTTCAGCAATTTAACCGGGACTTTTTATCTTGCTTATAGTTTTATTCAATTTTCAACTATGCCATTTATGTAGGATCTCGTGATTTGGGTGGGTTGACTAAAGATAGTATTGTTGGCTTCTTAATAGAATAAAATAAGCTTATACATAGAATGACGACTATGAAACAAGAGAGATCCACTATGGGACAGCAGATTTATGTTATAACCCTTTTAACACTTAGGAACTAAAAATATTAATAAAGCAGCATTCTGTAGATCAAACATGATAGAAAAGTTATAAAAATTCAGACGTGATGAAAAGGTAAAAAGAATTACAAACTCTCAAACTTCGAATAATCGTAACTTCCAAAAAAGAAAAAATAAGAAAAAATTCAAACGTTATTTTATAGAGAAAAGTCGATATATATATATATATATCACACGTAAAAAGAACCGCAAACGTAATAAACGATATAAGTGCAAAGACGGTTTAATTAAGCAGTAAAATATATACTGTTCTTATAATCACGCAAAGTGTGTATACATTTTTTGGGACACCCTGTATTTCCTGCATCTGTAACGACACGAAAAATGTTTATAGCGTAACTGAACCGAGTCACCGTGTATAATAAATTGCACGAAAAATAATTTATATATAATATACGATAAATTACACGATATATTTACAATAAATTGCAATAAATTTGTATTGCAATAAATATATTGCAATAAATAATAATTATACTAAATTGCATACATTATTCGGGCAAACTTCAATTTTTCACGGTTACTAATCGTCCTGTCACGCGTAATTTCTATTTGTATAAGTCTATGCACGAACATGTTGTATTCAAGTTAATCTGCTTAAATTGTTCCCAGACGTAATATTTGTCATGGCAGGGAGATATAAGACCACGTTACCCTTTGACCGTAGGGGTCGCCGTAGGATAGTTACAAAAGGACGGACCATTCGATTATCTCGCTGTAGCCTTTCGCCATCCTTACAGGCCGGACGAAAGTCCTGCGGACGTGTAATCGAGTTTAACTTCCTTCAGGAAGTACGGGTCCTAGTTAGTCACATCTATGTCCACAAGCCGGCCCGGGCCTAACTTCATCTAATTTCGGTCGGATCTCTAACTCAAACTTTAATCTCCGATGGTCGAAATACTTTGTAACGAGGTGAACGTTGCTCTAATTAATTTATGCGCTTGTTACACGGTATTTGAGGCTTTAATTCGCTCTCTGACCCTCGCGGAAACAGGCTAAAGAGATTGTAATCGTAACTGCGAAAATTGTTAATTCGATACTCCGACGGGGTTATAACGTATTAGGCTTTCGAATTTCTAATAATATTATACTAGTAGTAACCTTAGTTCGTGAAATCGAGACTTTGGAAACGGTGGCCTCGTTGTTAAATATATTTCAGGGTCTTCTTGTTTACGGAGTTTATTATTATAATATGATAAGTGTGTATTTCAAATAATATGAAAAAGGCGGGAATATTTGAATATATACAAGAGTCGAATATACAAAACGCTTCGAATTAAATAGGGAATAAATTTTTGCGTTTTGCTTTGATCTTTTCTACATATTAACCTTTAAGTGTCCTGAAGTTCTGACAATCTAAGGAAATTCGATTGAAAAGTACTTTTTCGTATATTAGTTAGGTATAGATAAAATAAACTAAATAAAAACTGAGTTAAACTAGTTATCGATGACAATGAAGAAAACTATACTCAAAATTAAAATTTTTCAAATTATATGTATCCCAAAATTTCAAATTATTGAATTATTATCAAAATTTTTCAAATTATTAAGTATCTCCTAATGCATGCACAATGACTACTTCATGACTGTTATATTATATATATATATTATATTATATATATTATACATAACAGTCACGAAGTGGTCAGTGTGCATGCATTAGGAGATGTTTAAAGGGTTAATCATAATATACAATATTTCTTCTTAATTTCTTAATTATTTTGTTAATATTTAACACTGACCTACCAAAATAAAAAAATATACACTGAAGAAGTATTTAATTTTATTTAACCACTAGATACCTATTCTATCCGTGACAAAATTACATAAAAGTTTTAGAAATTCTTCGAATTTTAGCCGCGTGAAAACGTGTGAAATATAACTATAGTCGTGTGATTAGTATGATTAGCTTATGATTGTGAAATTTGACACGAAGAACTCGTGAGGAATTAGACCTGCTACTGCAATTCAAAGGGAATATTGAATACTGACTGTAATTCAGACAGAAACATAATTATATATAATTATTTACCTTATAGTACCCCAAAAGTTACTATATTTAATTACACATTATGTCATTAGTTCTAATGTCAATTTTTCAAGGATGTTACTGTACATATTAATTTCTTTTGCTCGTTGACTATGCTTCCCTACTCTGAGAGCGATATCGTCCCATTGTCGATCGTTTGATACACAGATTGGCAGGTGTAACGGATGCAAAGGGTTGACGCGAGTGAAATTTCCTTTTTCCCAGGTGGCAGAAAGCCGGAGGAAAGACCGTCCGGTCGTAGATCATCGTTTCGATCGGTGAAGCCGGTGATGCCGTACGAAGTCGGGGGCGAAGATGAAAGCATGATGAACTTGGGGGCATTCCCTGTCTCAGTGGTTTCACCAAAGGTGGTGCCACCGCCGGTTTTGGGTCCTGATGAGGATCGGCGAACCAGACGAAGGGGCTCTCAGCTGTGAGTACTGTATTACGAATTTAATAACGCTTCCGTGCACAAATTAAGCGGCTTGAAATAATTTCGTTGAAGGATAACATGGAGTTATCCGTGTACTATTGAGCACGCTAGAAAAAAGTACAGTAACCTCCCAGCTTATGTAGGGGATTCTTGACAGGCACTGCAATAATTCTTGAAGTATTATAGGATTTGAAAAAATACACTACATTTTTAATTTACGTATTGTAAGATGGCAAAAACTGATTTTGAGACACCAAAAATTGACAAAACAACAAGAACGGAATAACACAAACTCAAAATTCATAAAACTAATTTAACTTAGGAAAAGAACACCAAGATAACGAAACGAAAACACACAAAGACGCACTCTAATTTAACTCTATTTCCAACACCAAGCGATTCACGCCTGTGCTAGTCACAATTGATTTCTAAGGACCCTGTTTTAGTCGTCAAGGACCATGCTTTTATGCTTTTCTTAACCTACGCTTCACCTCCCTGTAGGGACTTCGTATCTTAATTTTACTCCCCAAAATAAATTTTTCCATTTGTTTCTGCAAAATATTGATCGGGTTCTAATTTGTTTTTGTTGGCAATGGCAAACAATTCGCGATTTCTTTCCGAAATGGTATCTTACAGTATCTAGGTAATTTAAAATATTATTGTGATATTTTGAGATTATAATATTACTGAAATATTAGCAAACATCGATCAAAAATTCTCAAATGTTTTTATCATCGATGCATGAACTTAGCCAATAAATTTGGAAATGAAAGAAATTTTATATAAAATCGAAACCACGTTAAGGGGTTAAATATTATATTATACGATACTGAAATGTTATTGATAGTAGTTGAAAATAATACTTTTTAATATTTCTTAATCTTTTTTTGATGAATATGCTTATACTTTCTTGAGATATTTTTAGTATATTGTCTTGAACTCGATGTCTTAGATATTCCAGATACTTATGGTTACTTAGTTAATGAAACTGTACAGAACTATACGGGAAGCAATAAAGTTCTGTAAAAATTTGGCAAGCTAATATTGGCTTTGCTAGGATCGACAGACAACCCTTTGAAAGTAGGGCAACGGGTTGCGCAAAAATATGTTTATTTAAGGCAACTTGTATGAGATTAAGTGTAAACATTATTACACTGTATACTTTGTTCATCTCGGTATTATGAGTGGCTTAATCGTATCATTAGCAAATTTAAATTTGTTACTGTATTTAACCTGGTTTCTGTAGCACGTGCACACACCATATTTTAAATAGCGTTTACATGCAGACGTCAAAATTAATGTTACTTTTTTGCTCGTTTGTTTTATACAAAAAGTTTTACAAATTTTTTGTTTTCGAGATAACGTTTCTCTCACTTAAGAGAAACATTTATGACAAAAATAGAATATAAAATATTGTATTGTTTAGGAAAGACACGATTTAGAATACATTTCTTCAGATTTAGATTTAGAAAAATATTCCTTTATTTAAAGCAATAAATTTATTGTATTGAAATTCGTGGTCTAATCTTTCAAAAAATGATTCTAAAATTTTAAGAAAATTGAAGTAACTGAATAAATTTTTCTTCAATGAAACCCCATTTCGAATTCTACAAATTAACTTTTCGTTGAAATTAATTCAATCAAAAAGTATGGAATTAATTCTTCAACTTGTTGAGGTATGACTGAACTGTCAAATACAAGTTCAACTATTCGTTATTATGATACCCTTGGTACATCTTCGATTCAATAGAAACTTGCAGTTAATACCGATAATACCTGTAGCGTCGTCTTGACAGCAAACGAGCCTTTGAGGAAATCAATAACGAAATTCATTATATTAAGAACACGTGTCAGTCAAATGTATTCATTGATACTCATCTATAATTTACAAAGTCCTTATCCATGAAAAAAAAACATGATTGAATAGAAGCCAATAGTTTTATTGTCAAACTTTTAAATTAGATATTTAATTCCATATTTATAACCCAATAGAACCCCTTTTGTATTAACTTATTTTGATTCATAAGGCTACTAGTGGGTTGGCCAAAAAGTAATAGCGGTATTTTTAGTATAAAATTAATAAATTTTTAGTATAAAATAGTAGTCACTTGATTTAAAATAAATAACGTCTCAACAGATCATTTTTATTTATATATTTTTGCCATTTTATGGACAGCTCCTTATTCAAAATGCCATGCAACTATGTTTAACAGGTTAGGAAATAGCGTTAGGTTGGAAAACAACGCTGCACCATCTAGTGTTAAAATTCAGTATTACTCAATGGCCAACACGATATTCGCGTATTATCGCCATTATTGCCCTTTATAGTTACATCATACGTTTCAATAATGCACCCTGTACTCGCGACAGGTTTAAAAAAGTATAGCTGAAGCATTAACGAAGGAATATTTTGTTTCACTGTAACAACGAGTATCTCGTGGAAACTTTCGCGGTTAGTTTTAATCAAAACTTACGTTAGTCTACGGAATGAGTTACGAAACAAGTGTGAAGCTGGAGATTAAGCAGTATTTATAAATCTTTATTTAATCCTGTTGCATGCACGTACACGCATACGGTTTGCAGCGTAGGTCGAGATTAAATTTAATAAATAATTTTACGTTACGCAATCCTTGAATATTTATTCTCTCTTTCCTGCGTAAATATTATGAACTAATTCCGTAAATTTAATATTTATAGACTCTTACCTATATAACATTGTAAGTAATTCGTCTCTTCATTTTTCTTCAAATTTCCTTCGCTATAGTTATAGTTTCATTTCGATTGATATCACATCGTTTCTATATAAGAAAATTACTGAAAACGGGACATCCATTACCATTGTTGTTAAAAATAAAGGAGAAAGAGTAATTTTTACAGAAGCCATTTGTCTTCACGGTAGAAATTAATTAATTCCTAAAATATTTTTTTTTTTTAAATACAAAGTAAAAAATTTTTACAGAAGCCATTTGTCTTCGCGGTAGAAATTAATTAATCCACAAAATATTTTTTTTTTCTACAATATTTCTTCTTTTTTTTTGTAAATGCAAATTTGGTTCGAAGCTTAAAATTTCCTGTTTTCCTCAAATTAACTGATTGATCGGGCGTTATTGTAGAATGTTAAGCTATCGCCAATCATATTCGAATATTTCTAAAATCGCTCATGTTTAATTAGTAAATACTATTTAATCCGTTTGGTAATAGAATATGTGTATCATACACATTCACGCAGGTGGTTTAATAAACGTGAGAGTTCGATTGCTGTTGATATAAATCTACGTAACACTTACAATTTGCATAATATTGAACTGATGTGCTTAATTTAATCGAGCAACATATCGTTTATAAAAGATGATCGTTTATTCGTGCCGAACAAAATTTTTATCCGATTAATTTCTGTTTTAATATTTACTTTCATCACTTCCTCGAATTAAAATTACATAATTTTTATGAATCTGAAATTCATATTCAGGTCAGTGAGAATAATTGACGATTGTTAATGGAGGTCACAATTTAAAATAAATTATTTTATATGCGAGCCTAAATAAAAATTAAATTCATGAGTTTACAGATTAAATTAATGAAATAACAAAATCATTAATTCATGTATAAAATCTGACAATGTGAACGATGACACAGTCGAAGGATGAATAAGGAAGACTTTAAGAGTTTTATAATTTAAATGCTTTTTGTTATATTTTTTGCCAAAAAGAAAAAGAAAATAAGCAAACGGTTGAATTCCACAAAATAGAAATTTCCCTTGTTATATTACCCATGAAAAAGGGAAATCAGTGAAAATTGATGAAAATCAGCGTCATATTAATTGAAATTTAGCGAAATAAAAATTCTTTTATCATATTTTTATTAGAAATGGAAAGTTAATGAATGTCAGTAAATATGGTAGGTTGTTTCTTGTAAGATTGTGAGAGTTGCTGTCATCTCGATAGCTGGAAGGCAAGGAAGGTGACGACGAAGTAAGTTAGCTGAGGAGTTAAGCCAAACCGGAGAGTAGACTTCGGGTTCACTAATTATCCGTCCGTTGAGACGTTGATTTATCACACATCAGTTACTAATGAGAATGAAAAACAGTATCATGGTAGAAGCTCACGTAGTTCACATATATGCGTAGGTAATGTAAACGAGTTCATGGAACAATATTTCAATCTTTATCTCTCTATCTCGGGGGGACAATTACAAATAATGTCAAAATTGGTCATTAAAAATTTGCTAAACATAGCTGAACTAGATATTAGTATCATCGCTATCACAACTGTCTAAATTATATTTTATAGTTATAATATTAAAAAATATATATATGTATAATATATACAATATAAAATATATTGTATTTCCTGTAAAGAAAAATGTTTAAACTTAATTTTTTGATCAACTATAAATAATAACTACAAAAATTATTGATTATGAACTTTTTAAAGACACTAGGGGGCTACATATTAGTGTCATACTTACAGTTACTTAAACTTTCCGAAATTTTGTAATATTATATAATATATTATGTGATATTCCACAACATAAGATATCATATAATATAATAAAATGTAAATATATTAAATTTTAGTTTAAAAAGTTCTATATGTAAACGTAAATCTGAATATTAATTTCATCCAGTATTACTATTTCTAAAAATGTTATTTCTCTGCATTTTTCATTTTTTAGAAACACTTCATTATCACATTTCAATATCACCATAAAAATATTTTTATGTTAATTGATGAAAAAAAGCAATAAATTATTTCTGATCCCATATTGTTCTAACTAATTTGACTTTAAAATTCCTACTACCAGGAAACTGTGACTCGCTGATATTGTATTACAAAATCGTTACTTGTGTTCTTCGTTCTATTTGTATATGATGGAACAGAAAGTTTCACATCGAGCACTGTATGTGTTCAGACTCACCTCCTTTTCTACGTCCTTGGAGGTTTCCTTCCTGCAAACGAAATATTTTCTCTTTGAAGAAACAAGATAAGAGACCTACATTC